TTTTTTCATGTCCTCTGCACTGTTGATATTTCTACGGATAGCAAGACCGTAGTATGTCGTAAGTTTTCTGATTAGAGTATCTGTCAATTTTCCTTTTCCGCCAAGTTTGTATGTTTTTTTTATGTTTCGTAGTCGGGATCCCATCCTCTTTTCAACATGTCCAATACATTCATTTTTAATTACTGGAAAATCGTCGCCATATGGATTTTGTTCTAAAATTGCTTTGAACGTTTTGGAATCTCCGTCCCCTATATAGTTGCCGTATTTTACACCAAACTTTTCTTCGGATCTCAAAAACATCTCTACAATTGCATCGACTTCCATTTTACCGGCAGACCCTCGTGAGTTTTTATGCAATTTTCTTTATGTTCTTCATACCAGTCAATATATTCTTCTGTATTTTCTTTATTTTTATAAAATGTACAGGCTTGACAATAACTGCTTTTTACAGCTACATCAATAACTTTACCAGAATAGTACCCAATAATCGATGTTACGCCGTATAATGATTTGAATCCGCGCTTTTTCCAAGAACCATCACCAGATACTTTTAAATTGAAGATTGACCTTTCTTGCCTTTCGTTTACTTTCTTTTCTTCTTCAACAGCTTTTCCGCTGAAATATTCGAACACCGATTTGGTGGCTGAATGCTGATGTTTAACAATATTATTGTATGCACTATTACTCAAACCGTCGCATATATCCATAAAATTGCAAAATAAATTTATCCCTTGCCTCCCAATGCCCAGCAGACGCATAACAAAAACAATTCTACGATTTATTTCATAACCAGTTTGAATTAACGGTCCGGAATTTATGTCTCTTCGGCCACAATGACAAAGCAAAACGAGCTTGAACCCAAGACCTCTCATTCCATCTACCTCAAATTATATGGTATCTTTACATTTGCAACAAATAACAACATTAGCCAAAGCACTGATCACGGTAAAAAACTCAAGTACTTAGAATTTCGCTTTAAAATTTTGCTATCATATTCTTAAGACGTGCAGGCAACTTTTTATGGAAAAAAAAAATTTTCAGTTTTTTGACGGTTCTAAATGAATTTCCCCCCTTAAGGACCTACATTTGCCCTAAACCTTTGGAGGGCTAAAGTTACAATAGATCTTATAGGTCGCGGTAACGAGAGGGGCCGCCCTCCTCAGCCCGGCAGCAATAATAATAAATAATAAAAGAAATACGAATAAGAAATCAGATTATTAGTTACTAATTTACAATATTAACGTTTAAAAAATTGTAAAATGAAATTAAGGACGAAGTGTTACAAGTTTATAGGCTAAAATTTAAAAACGCTCGTTTTTAACAAAAGAAATATTAAGAATCTTGGGAAAAATTCAAGAAATGGCCCAAAAAACACGTTAAAAATAAAAAGAAAGTATGGAAAAGTGACTAAACTAGATTAATTTCAGTTATAAAACTTCTATTATATGATAACTAACTTCAGGTTTAAAATGTCAACCTCAATTTTGACATATTTGTNACGCAAGAAGGCTCTAAGCAATTGTTCGCACGCTCTAGTGTCGTTTACATCAAGCGATCGAACATTCTTAGAATATTCCCTAGAATCTTTGAGAACACAGACAGAACAACGAAAGAATGCTCTACATCTGTTTACACTAAAAGAATATGATAGAGTGGCGATAGAATGAGCATTCGCTCGTCTGATGTAAATCGGCCCTTAGAGAATAAAGGCTTTAGTTGAACAATTTTTATCTTGTAGGTTTAATCATATATTTTAAAAAGTACAAAAGTGATCTCTCTAGAACTATTTGTAAAGTTAACAATAAATCTTCGTCATTTGGTAGTCTTGAACCAAAGAAACAAACGATTCATGGATTAAAACAACATCTATGTTAAGATACCACAATGACTAGTANCTTGTCTATTTGTCTATTATATGATAACTAACTTCAGGTTTAAAATGTCAACCTCAATTTTGACATATTTGTATTCGTCATTAAAAATCTTTTAAAATGAGTACAAACACGACATATTTATTTTCAATATTAATGAAGTTATGGTCAACTTCCGGTTTGAAATGTCAATGTCATCTTGATATGTTTTTAATTTTTACAAAAAGTGTTAAAATTTGTCACGAAAACGAGAATATAATAAAAAAAATCAAAAATTAAGGTTGGTATTAATATTAAAAATTAAATTGCTATCTTTATTGTTGTTAACTTCGGGGTTAATGTTTTTTATTCTAACTTTTTTGTATTTTGAGATAACTGCGTCATGTTTGGACACATTTTAAAAGTTTTTTTAATAAAAACACATCGTGAAAGAACACCATGAAGTTGTCCATTTGTCTATTAGACGATAACTAACTTCAGGTTTAAAATGTCAACCTCGATTTTGACATATTTGTATTCGTCATTAAAAATCTTTTAAAATGAGTACAAACACGACATATTTATCTTCAATATTAATGAAGTTGTGATCAACTTCCGGTTTGAAATGTCAATGTCATTTTGATATATTCTTAATTTTTACAAAAAGTGTTCAAATTTGTCACGAAAAGAAGAATATAATAAAAAAAATCAAAAATTAAGGTTGGTATTAATATTAAAAATTAAATTGCTATCTTTATTGTTGTTAACTTCGGGGTTAATGTTTTTTATTCTAACTTTTTTGTATTTTGAGATAACTGCGTCATGTTTGGACACATTTTAAAAGTTTTTTTAATAAAAACACATCGTGAAAGAACACCATGAAGTTGTCCATTTGTCTATTAGACGATAACTAACTTCAGGTTTAAAATGTCAACCTCGATTTTGACATATTTGTATTCGTCATTAAAAATCTTTTAAAATGAGTACAAACACGACATATTTATCTTCAATATTAATGAAGTTGTGATCAACTTCCGGTTTGAAATGTCAATGTCATTTTGATATATTCTTAATTTTTACAAAAAGTGTTCAAATTTGTCACGAAAAGAAGAATATAATAAAAAAAATCAAAAATTAAGGTTGGTATTAATATTTAAAAATTAAATTGCTATCTTTATTGTTGTTAACTTCGGGTTTAATGTTTTTTATTCTAACTTTTTTGTATTTTGAGGTAAGTGCGTCATATTTAGACACATTTTAAAGGTTTTTTTAATAAAAACACATCGTGAAAGAACACCATAAAGTTGTCTATTTGTCTATTATATAATAACTAACTTCAGGTTTAAAATGTCAACCTCAATTTTGACATATTTGTAATCGTTATTAAAAATCTTTTAAAATGAGTACAAACACGACATATTTATCTTCAATATTAATGAAGTTGTGGTCAACTTCCGGTTTGAAATGTCAATGTCATTTTGATATATTCTTAATTTTTACAAAAAGTGTTAAAATTTGTCACGAAAACAAGAATATAATAAAAAAAATCAAAAATTAAGATTGGTATTAATATTTAAAAATTAAATTGCTATTTTTATTGTTGCTAACTTCGGGTTTAATGTTTTTTATTCTAACTTTTTTGTATTTTGAGGTAAGTGCGTCATGTTTGGACACATTTTAAAGGTTTTTTTTAATAAAAACACATCGTGAAAGAACACCTGAAGTTGTCTATTTGTCTATTATATGATAACTAACTTCAGGTTTAAAATGTCAACCTCAATTTTGACATATTTGTATTCGTCATTAAAAATCTTTTAAAATGAGTACAAACACGACATATTTATTTTCAATATTAATGAAGTTATGGTCAACTTCCGGTTTGAAATGTCAATGTCATTTTGATATATTCTTAATTTTTACAAAAAGTGTTCAAATTTGTCACGAAAACAAGAATATAATAAAAAAAATCAAAAATTAAGGTTGGTATTAATATTTAAAAATTAAATTGCTATCTTCATTGTTGCTAACTTCGGGGTTAATGTTTTTTAGCCTAACATTTTTGTGTTTTGAGATAAGTGCGTCATCTTTGGACTCATTTGAAATTTTTTTTAATAAAAAACACATCGTGAAAGAACATCATGAAGTTGTCCATTTGTCTATTATATGATAATTAACTTCAGGTTTAAAATGTCAACCTCAATTTTGACGTATTTGTAATGTTCATTAAAAATCCTTTAAAATAAGTACAAACACGACATATTTATCTTCAATGTTAATGAAGTTATGTTCAACTTCCGGCTAGAAATGTCAACGTCAATTTTGACAGATTTGTAATCGTCGTGAAAAATGAGCTCAAACATGATACGTTTAATTCCGATATTACTCGAGATATAAACAACTTCCGGTTTGAAATGTCAATTTGACATTTCTTAATTTTTATAAAATCTCTTAAAATTTGTTGTAAAAACGAAAATATAATAAAAAAATCAAAAATTAAGGTTGGTATTAATATTTAAAAATTAAATTGTTGCTAACTTCAGGTTAAATGTTTTTTATTCTAACTTTTTTGTTTTTTGAGATAAGTACGTCATCTTTGGACTCATTTTAAAGGTTTTTTAATGAAGATGACAAATATGTCAAAATTGACGTTGACGTTTCAAACCGGAAGTGGTTGTATCTCATTAATATCAAAGTGAAATATGTCGAGTTTGGACTCATTTTAAAGGTTATTTTATGAAGATTACGAATATAATAATAAAATTAAAGTTGACATTGACAACAGAAAGTTTTTTGCACGACTAAACCCGAATGTTTCTAGTTCTCGTTTTAGTGTTAATTCAATAAAAATATACAACATAGTGATATGTGATATTTTATGCTAACTAGCGCTACCTACCTTTGTAAAATGGATAAGATGAGAGATGTTAAATCTTCTCATTCTGGATCTTTTGGCTTTTTCAATATTTTTGACTTTCTTACTCATCTACTGTCTGTCGCTTTGTTTATTTTTTATTCTAGATTCTTTGTTCCATTCTTTCTGATTGTTCTGGCATTTTTTAAATTCTGGTTAGGTTCTAGATTCTATCTTGGTAGGTTTCTGTACTGTTAGCTTGTCAGTGGTTAGATGATAGATGTGTATTCTCGATAATAGTTAGAGTTAGACTATTTGACCAAACTTTGAGTGTTCCTTCTTTCTCTTAAAACCTTTCACATTAAAATTCTTGTTTTTGTTTTTATTAACCTTCTAATATAACCAGTGGAATTGGATTCGTATCAATGCGTGCATAAGCACATTGTGTTGGTAATATTTTCAGCGTCTTCTGATGTAATCAAATGAACGTTATCAGTAATTACTTGATATCCATTCTCAACTATATTAAAAAGCTGCTTTGAATATTTTACTATTCCAAGACCTTCATGGAATAGTATATGGTCACTACACATTCCCGGTATTATTCAACTTTAACTATATTTAATACAAATAATACATTGTAATATTAAAATACAACATTATTCGTTTAATTTCGAGGTAGATACAACCTAATCATATACTTATACATACATGATTTACATCGGGGCTTGTAGGAATAAAACTGCGGCATAAACCGAAGGGGCTACCTGTAATAACTTTGTTTTAATTTAAAAAAAATGTTTCTTTTTAGTGCAATTGTATCGTAATGTTAACGAATTTAGTCGAAAAGGGACGATCTAAATGTGAATTATATTTCCCATTGGGTCGCAGAGTCGGAGCCGACCACAAAACTTACCTAACCGTAAAAACTCGTAGAGTACAAGACCGTTTTACGTTCGATCGGACCCAATTAACCTCAACGGCTCAATACGAAGAGGAAACATTTAAATTTGAAGAAACTGACGAAGTTTTTTACGGAAATTTTCGCATTCGCTTTTTAAAAAAACAACAAATCGGGGAATCGTGCACCCTTAGAATGTTATCGGTGACTAAATCGGGCGAATCCGGCGAACGATTAATAAAGCATTTTTGGTTCTCAAACTGGCAAGATCACAAAATGGCGAATCCCGAAACGGTTTTAAATATAGCGAAAGAAATAATTGACGTTATGGACAGAAACGCGAAAAATGTAACCAAAAAGAATGTTAATAACACATCGAAACGTAACTTAATTGGGTCTATACAAGAAAAACCGATGGTTATTGCGCATTGTAGTGCTGGAATAGGACGAACCGGGTGTTTTTTAGCCATTTTAAATGGTATCCAACAACTGAGAAACACAAAAACGGTCGATGTTTTAGCGATTTTATGTTCTTTGAGGTTGCATCGTGGTGGGATGGTTCAAACGGCCGAACAATACGAGTTGATCCACAGGGTTTTGAGGTTGTACGCGGAGGGTATGTAGATGTATTTATTATTTTTTAGTAAAATAGTGAATTATTAATGAAATAAATAAATAAACACCAAAGTAAATTAATATAAAAAATTGTAGAGGTCGTTTCCGATATCGATGTATAGCGATGTAACGATGAATGTGATATTAATTAATCGATTTCCGGTAATTTTATTATTAATTGTATTTGTTTCTTACCACGTTTTTTACCACGAAGGTTGAATGAAAGCGTCCCCCCAAGTTTTTTATTTTTCTACATATATAAACATAACCTACTTTTGTTCCTATTCCGAGTTCAATAAATTATTAAAAAAATCGTAAAAAATGTAGGGGTTAGTGTTGGAAGAGTAAAAAATAAAAAAATAATTAAGATAATAATCGTTTTATTATTATTAATAAAGAAAATCGGTTACACTTTAATAAAAATCGCACCTAAAAACGAAATGTCAAAAATTTAATGTCACTTCATCTTTTTTTAGGTTAAAAACGCTGCTTAAGAAAATGAATTAATTTGTGAAATTTAGAAGAAAATAATCCTTAAAAGAATGTTCCTTAATCCTGATTAACCAAGTTGTTGTAAGAAAAACCCGAAAATTCAAGAATAATTTCCCGAACCTAACCTCCTGTCATAATTTTGTAATAAAATTAAAGGGGATGTTTTCCAAAAAGTTCAAACATTTTGGAATTTCCAAAAAGGTGAGTGGTGTGAATCAAAGTCACATAAAGTTTTCTATTTTTGAGGTTAAAATTAAAAAAAATATTACTTCTGATTATAATTTTGTCAATTTTTGCACAAATATTCTTAATCTCCGTGAAATTTCCTTTAAAACGACACCAAACACGACATATTTATCACTAAAAACAACCGAGATATGACGATTTTAAAATCATTTTGACAGTTGACGTTTAATGATTTTGAGGTTAACTTTTTTATTCTTTAAGACAACCCCGTCGAGTTTGGGCTCATTTTAAAGCATTTTTCATGTTATTTAAGAAAATAGAGTTAAAATCTCTTAATACATTATTTTGACAGTTGACATTTTTCGATTTTGAGGTTAACTTTTTTATTCTTTAAGACAACTGGGTTTATTTAAAAGCATTCTTAATTTTATTTATTAAAATCGAGTCAAAATCTCATAATAAATTAATTTGACAGTTGACGTTTAACCATTTTGAGGTTAAAATTTTAAAAATTATAACTTCCGATTATAAATTTTTCACATATTCTTAATCTCCGTGAAATTTCCTTTAAAACGATACCAAACACGAGATATTGATCACTAAAAACAACCGAGATATGACGATTTTAAAATCATTTTGACAGTTGACGTTTAATGAATTTGAGGTTAACTTTTTTATTCTTTAAGACAACCCCGTCGAGTTTGGGCTCATTTTAAAGCATTTTTCATGTTATTTAAGAAAATAGAGTTAAAATCTCTTAATACATTATTTTGACAGTTGACATTTTTCGATTTTGAGGTTAACTTTTTTATTCTTTAAGACAACTGGGTTTATTTAAAAGCATTCTTAATTTTATTTATTAAAATCGAGTCAAAATCTCATAATAAATTAATTTGACAGTTGACGTTTAACCATTTTGAGGTTAAAATTTTAAAAATTATAACTTCCGATTATAAATTTTTCACATATTCTTAATCTCCGTGAAATTTCCTTTAAAACGATACCAAACACGAGATATTGATCACTAAAAACAACCGAGATATGACGATTTTAAAATCATTTTGACAGTTGACGTTTAATGAATTTGAGGTTAACTTTTTTATTCTTTAAGACAACCCCGTCGAGTTTGGGCTCATTTTAAAGCATTTTTCATGTTATTTAAGAAAATAGAGTTAAAATCTCTTAATACATTATTTTGACAGTTGACATTTTTCGATTTTGAGGTTAACTTTTTTATTATTTAGAATAACACCGTCGAGTTTGGGCTCATTTTAAAGCATTTTTCATGTTATTTCAGAAAATAGAGCTTAAGTCTCACAAAATTGATTTTGACATTTGACGTTTAATGATTTTGAGGTTAACTTTTCTACTTTTTAAGATAACCCTATCGAGTTTGGGCTCATTTAAAATCATTTTTAACCTTATTTAAGAAAATGGAATTAAAATGTACAAAAAAATTATTTTGACATTTGACGTTTTTTGTTTTTAAGGTTAACTTGTTTAAGATAAATTTTTTCTTTTTCGTTTCATCTCGTTTTAAAGCATTTTTGATTTTATTTTAAAAAATTAAGTTAAAATCTACCACAAATTATTTTGACGTTTCTCGATTTTGAGGTTAACTTTTCTATTATCTTAGATAATCTTATCGAGTTTGGGCTCATTTTAAAGCATTTTTAATTTTATTTAAGAAAATAGAGTTAAAATCTCTCAATAAATTATTTTGACAGTTGACATTTATCGATTTTGAGGTTAACTTTTTTATTCTTTAAGATAACCCCGTCGAATTTGGGTTCATTTAAAAGCATTCTTAATTTTATTTATTAAAATCGAGTCAAAATCTCATAATAAATTAATTTGACAGTTGACGTTTAATCACTTTGAGGTTAAAATTTTAAAAATTATTACTTCCGATTATAAATTTTTCACATATTCTTAATCTCCGTGAAATTTCCTTTAAAACGACACCAAACACGACATATTTATCACTAAAAATAACCGAGATAGGATGATTTAAAAATCATTTTGACAGTTTAATGATTTTGAGGTTAACTTTTTTATTCTTTAAGACAACCCCATCGAGTTTGGGTTCATTTTAAAGCATTTTTAATTGTGTTTAAGAAAATAGAGTTAAAATCTCTTAATAAGTTATTTTGACATTTGACGTTTAATGATTTTGAGGTTAACTTTTTTATTCTTTAAGACAACCCCGTCGAGTTTGGTTTCATTTTAAAGCATTTTTAATTTTATTTAATACAATATCTTTAAAATCAAAAAAATTATTAATTTGACATTTGACGTTTTTTTGATTTTAAGATTAACTTCTTTAAAATAAAATTTTTTATTACCGAGTTTGGGCTCATTTTAAAGCATTTTTAATTTTATTTAACGAAGTCGACTCAAAATCTCATAACAAATTATTTTGACATTTGACATTTTTTGATTTTAAGGTTAACTTTTTTATTCTTTAAGATAACCCCATCGAGTTTGGTCTCATTTTAAAGCATTTTTAATTTTATTTAACAAAATCTCATAAGAAATTATTTTGACATTTGACATTTTTTGATTTTAAGGTTAACTTTTTTATTCTTTAAGATAACCCCATCGAGTTTGGTCTCATTTTAAAGCATTTTTAATTTCCTTTAACAAAATCGACTCAAAAATAAAAAAAAATAATAATTTCAACATCCCAAAACATTTTAAAGCATTTTTATTCGCATCACCTTAATACAAAAGTACATCAAACAGATAAAATGGTCCAATTTAAACAATTCATTCCTCCAATTCAATCCCCGATCGGATCCTCAGTCAAATGATGCCATCGTTCCTGTTTATGATCGGGGTACCTTATCATATCAAGCCAATGTTTCAATCTTTGCCCCTTCGACCCCATCCCCCCCAACACCAACCCCCCCAAATAATCATTACTTTTCCCGTAATCTTTATCCCAAACCGCAATGTGGAGACTTTGCGTCGATAACTCCGTTGGGCGAGTTTCAAACGCGAATTCCTCGTTGAAGATAGGGTTCAATTCTTTCCATTTAATCGAGGTTTTATGCTTCCTGTGGTGGGGATCGGGTCTTAATAATAATTTAACGAAAGGATCTGAGTATCCGTTATTATCCATTGGGAGCAAATTTTCGCAGCGACAAACTGTGACTAAAAGGGCCCTTCTTTTCGTGTTATAACACAAAGATAACAAAATCCTCCCTCTCGCGAATAAATCTTCAATCCAATGAGTTAATTCGGGCGAAGCGGTTTTTTCTAAAGGAACTGTTAACTAAGTTAACAAAAAAAATTAATTGGTTAATTAATTAATTTGAAATAACTTACATAAATAGTATTTTGAATCCGTAATTTCGCCAAATTAATCCGCGTCTCCCCCAGATAATCATGCCCGTATTTATCATCGTCTAAGACTAAGATGTATAAGTATTTTTTGACCAAATCCTCCTCAGAGAGGTTATAAAACGTTAAGTTTTCGTTAAACTCGGGGTTTCTCGTTTTATGGACCGTCTTGGTTCTTAATCTGGTCGATTCTTTTTCGTTGGGTAAAATGTTGAGTTTGCAAAATGGGTCGGCCAATCCGTTAATGTCCATGGCTTCGAGATTTTTCGCGCGGTAAACGGTGCAGTGCAAAATATAGCTCATTGGGTCGTAATTAAGAGATAACTCGATTAACCCCATCGAAGCATCCAAAGGTTTATGCTCCTCAATGGGATTCTAAAAAATTTTACTCAAAAAAAAGCAAAATTTAATAAAATAACTCACCTTAAATATGCTACTTGTTACGCTACAAGCCCCAGGTGAGACTCTATCTTCGCTTTTAGCATCCGAATTCCAATTCCAATCAGAAATCGTTCTACTCGCCAAAGAATCCCTCCGAGACAACTCAGAACTCTCCCCAGAAGCTAATTCTAACTTAAAATCGTCTTCTTTTTCTAAGGTGAAGATCACAGCTTCTTTTTGGTTCTCTTTATCCTCTTGGAATGTAATCTCTTGGGCATCTTAAACCAAAATTTGACCCAAATTTGATTTAATCTAGCTTTAAACTCACCGTGGGTACTCTCAGTGCTTGAGTTTCTTCGCTCGATTTTCGGCCAAAAAGGTCTCTCCTCATCCGAACTGCTATCGTCTTTGAATCGCTTCTTCGACCGCTTACTGCTGTTGCAACTCCGATTAAAACGGAGCGGAGGCGCGATTTGACTCGGCAAAACGTACTTGGGCAAAGCCTTAAAGAACCAAGCCCCCGATTTCTTCCAAATCTCCCGGGATTCGGCGCAAATCATGCAAAGCCAACGATCCTTCGAATTCGCAAAGTACAGAGTTGATTTTGTCGCGAAAGGATTCGAATTCCTAAATCAAAAAAGTAAATATACAAAATTTTTTTAATCTAACTTTTTAATTACCTTCGGGTCTTATTCGGAGACGCGTTAATCGCGCATTTAATGCAGACCAATTTTCGGCAATCGATGCAGACGAATTTTTGCGTTATAAACACCCCGAAACCATCCCCGCATAACAAACACTGATTCGGGTCTCGCCCCAAAGCGTTTCTGCGCAAATTTTCGAATTTCTCGACCAACTTTCCGACCTGAAATTGATAAAATCGCGTTCGGAATGGAAAATCCGTTGAAATGAGTACCAACAAAGTGGGGTTATCTCAAAAAATAAAAACCGGAAGTACGACAATCGTAAGCGATTTCGCTAAATTCGTAATCTTGATTAAAAATGCTTCAAAATGAGCCCAAACACGACTAGTTTATCTTAAAAAACATGAAAGTTACGAAAATGTTATTAATTTCAAAATGGCGGATTTTCGATTTATTTTAATCGCCATTTTGGCAGTTTTTAAGATAAAGTGGTCGTGTTTGGGCTCATTTTAATGGGTTTTTGCATTCTCTCTAAGTTTACGTTAATCAAATTATTTTTTTAAAAATAATAATAAATAATATTTTCAAAATGGCGGATTTTCGATTTACTTTAATCGCCATTTTGGCAGTTTTTAAGATAAAGTGGTCGAGTTTGGGCTCATTTTAAAAGATTTTTCATTCTCTCTAAGTTTGCGTTAATCAAATTTGATTTTTATTAAATAATAAATGACAATTTCAAAATGGCGGACTGTTTTTTTAATTTTTACTCTCAACATAGGAAATTCTTTATCTTGATTAGAAATTCTTTGAAATGGGTCAAAGCAATAAGGTTGATTTAAAAAATAAAAAACCGGAAGTGGATCAATAAACAATCGACGATCGTTTTTTTTTGATATTATGGATACTAAATTCGTAATCTTGATTAAAACTGCTATAAAATGAGTCCAAACACGACTAATTTATCTCAAAAAACATAAAAGTTACGAAAATGTCATTAATTTCAAAATGGCGGATTTTTTTATTTATTTTTAATGCCATTTTGACAGTTTTTAAGATAAAGTGGTTGAGTTTAGACTCATTTTAAAGGATTTTTTGTTCTTTCTAAGTCTGCGGTAATAAAACTTATTATTTTTTTTAATAATAATAATAATTAATAATTTCAAAATGGCGGATTATGAATTTTCACACCCAACATAGGAAATACTTTAACTTGTTTAAAAATTCTTTAAAATGGGACAAAACTATAAGGTTGCTTTTAAAAATAAAAAAACCGGAAGTGGATCAATAAACAATCGACGATCGATTTTTTCTTGATATTATGGATACTAAATTCGTAATCTTGATTAAAAATGCTATAAAATGAGTCCAAACACGACTACTTTAACTTAAAAAACATAAAAGTTACGAAGATGTCATTAATTTCAAAATGGCGGATTTTCGATTTATTTTTTAACGCCATTTTGGCAGTTTTTAAGATAAAGTGGTCGAGTTTAGACTCATTTTAAAGGATTTTTTGTTCTCTCTAAGAGTGCGGTAATAAGACTTGATCTTTTTTTAATAATAATTAATATTTTCAAAATGGCGGATTATGAATTTTCACACCCAACATAGGAAATTCTTTAACTTGTTTAAAAATTCTTTAAAATGGGGCAAAACAATAATGTTTGTTAAAAAATAAAAAACCGGAAGTGGATCAATAAACAATCGACGATCGATTTTTTTTGATATTATGGATACTAAATTCGTAATCTTGATTAAAAATGCTTTAAAATGAGTCCAAACACGACTAATTTATCTTAAAAAACATAAAAGTTACGAAGATGTCATTAATTTCAAAATGGCGGATTTTCGATTTATTTTTAACGCCATTTTGGCAGTTTTCAAAATAAGGTAGTCGTGTTTGGACTCATTTTAAAGGATTTTTTGTTCTCTCTAAGTCTGAGGTAATACAATTTGATTTTTTTTTAATAATAATGATTAATAATTTCAAAATGGCGGATTTCCGATTTATTTTAATCGCCATTTTGACAGTTTTTAAGATAAAGTGGTCGTGTTTGGACTCATTTTAAAGGATTTTTCATTCTATCTAAGTTTGCGTTCATAAAATTTGATTTTTATAGAATAATAATAAATAATAATTTCAAAATGGCGGATTATAAATTTTTATTCCCAACATAAGAAATTTTTTATCTAGATTAGAAATTCTTTAAAATGGGTCAAAGCAATAAGGTTGATTTAAAAAATAAAAAACCGGAAGTGGATCAATAAACAATCGACGATCGTTTTTTTTTTTTATATTATGAATACTAAATTCGTAATCTTGATTAAAAATGCTTGAAAATGAGTCCAAACTCGACTAATTTATCTCAAAAAACATAAAAGTTACGAAAATGTCATTAATTTCAAAATGGCGGATTTTTTTATTTGTTTTTAACGCCATTTTGGCAGTTTTTAAGATAAAGTGGTCGTGTTTGGGCTCATTTTAAAGCATTCTTCATTTCCTTTACGTTAAAGCAATAAAAATTTAATTTTTTTAAAAATAATTTCCTCCTTTTCCGGTGAATCTAATAATTTCAAAATGGCCGATCATAAATTTTCTTAATCTCGATTAAAAATCCTTTAATATTAAACCCAACACGACCCGTTTACCTTCAAAAATGAAATTCAAAATGGCGGAATGACAGTTTATTTCAATTTAGAAGTTTTTAAGATAAATTAGTCGCGTTTCGAAACAGTTTTCGTTATCTATTTGATGATAACGATAAAAATGAGTATAAATTTATTTTTAATAAATTAATTCTTCGCCTAAATTATTTAAAAAAAAACAAAAGCTATCTAAATAAGGTTTATTTCGAAGTAATCGATCGCAAATTCTTAATCCTGGTTAAAAATCCTTTGAAATGAGCCCAAACACGACTGGTTTATCTTCAAAAATAAAAATTATCGATTTACGTTGAAATTCAAAATGGCGGAGTGACATTTTATGTCATTTTGAGCGATTTTTAAGATATTAAGATAAAATAGTCGTGTTTGGGCTCATTTTAAAGCATTTTTCATTTTATATTCGTCGGTGTTAAAATTTTTTCAAAATGGCGGATTTTTTTTTTTGAACTTTTTTTGTTTTTCTCTCAAAATGGTCGTGTTTGGGCTCATTTTAAAGCGTTTTCAACGCAGATTTCGATTTTTGATGAATTAATTAAAAATTTTTTACTCACCCTTTCTTGTTCTAATTGATCGACTTTTTCGGCCCGTTTAATAACGTCTATTATGACGGCTTGTTCGTCTTCTCGGAGGTTGTTGGAGGGTTGATTATAACCGACGCAAGCTGTTTTGACGCTCCATCCCGTTTTTAATCTTAAAAGCAATTAATTTTTAATCGAAATTTTTGGTTTAAATTTACTTACTTCGCCCTTAACGCGAGTTGTCTATCGTTTGGGCAAACAAATCTGCTCGTTGCGTCCGGGGAATAATCCATTTTTTTAGTTTAATTTTAACATATGGCGAATTTAAATCTGATAAGATCCAAAAACACGGTTTATTAATAATGTTAAGCGGCGATTACATCTGTTTGGATCGCTGATATGGAAATAGATAATAAATGAGTAATTTTGGCTAAAAAAATTATTTATTTATTAATTTTTTTTTACTTACTTTGTAAAAATTTATTTTTGAGCGTTAAAAAACTTTTTCTTGTCCAATCTTGTCTTTTAATACTTGATGAATGCGGTGATGTTGGGAACGAACTGAAGCCTGTTGCTTCAGCGTTTTGCTTTCATGGACTCTCCTCGTTTCGCGATCGATAAATACGAACGAGGCGAAACGCGGAGAGTTAAATTCTAAAACAACTTTTATTTCAATTAATTTTCGATTTATTAAAGAAAAAAAATTACAATCAAAATAACGTTCTTATTTACATCAATCACTTCATTAATTTTAATTCATTAAGTCTTAATTTCGTTAATAATCATAATTAGTTAGGGTAAATACCCCAAAGAATTTTCTAAAGCACTCCCAACTTTGTCGGTTTCCTTATTCCTCGAGGACCCCCGTTCCAAGCTCGATTTCGAGTCGTCGGATTGACTTTGAATCGTGTACAGCCCGTTGTTAGCGCTGTACATTGCATTTTTCGCCGTGTACAAAGAGTTCGTGATCATTTTGTTGATTGGTGTTGAATCGATTCTCGAGGAGCACCGAGAACTCGATCTCCGCGCGTTCAAGTTGTGGTAATTGATCAAAATTTCGGGGTCGATGTGTTTCGGGATTAAATGGGCGATGTCCGTTGTTTGACTTAGTTTTATATCGGCGAAAAGTGCTGCGATTTCCGCCGATTTCTTCACTGATAGCGCCTCGGTGCAACCTTTTACCGGAATCGATTGGAGAACTTTTTCTGGAATTAAATAAATTCATAACATTACTTATCGTTTATGCTCTGTAATAAATCAACCAAAAATCGTTAGTTTTGGAAGATCTAGCGCCTCGCCCGCAAGCGACCTCGGCGAAGTGAGGATAAACGATTTTTCATTGATAGAATCGGGTTCGGGATGGAAAATCCGTTGAAATGAGTACCAACAAAGTGGGGTTATCTCAAAAAATAAAAACCGGAAGTACGGTAATTGTAAGCGATTTTGCTAAATTCGTAATCTTGATTAAAAATGCTTCAAAATGAGCCCAAACATGACTAGTTTATCTTAAAAAATATAAAAGTTACGAAAATGTCATTAATTTCAAAATGGCGGATTTCCGATTTATTTTAATCGCCATTTCGGCAGTTTTTAAGATAAAATGGTCGTGTTTGGGTTCATTTTAAAGGATTTTTCATTCTCTCTAAGTTTGCGTTAATAAAATTAGATTTTTTAAAAATAATAGTATATAATAATTTCAAAATGGCGGATTATGAATTTTTACTCCCAACATAGCAAATTCTTTATATTGTTTAAAAATTCTTTGAAATGGGTCAAAGCAATAAGGTTGCTTTTAAAAATAAAAAAACCGGAAGTGGATCAATAAACAATCGACGATCGATTTTTTTTTGATGTTATGGATACTAAATTCGTAATCTTGATTAAAAATGCTATAAAATGAGTCCAAACACGACTAATTTATCTCAAAAACCATAAAAGTTACGAAAATGTCATTAATTTCAAAATGGCGGATTTTCGATTTATTTTTAACACCATTTTGGCAGTTTTTAAGATAAAGTGGTCGAGTTTGGACTCATTTTAAAGGGTTTTTAAAGTATTTCTTGTATTTATTGATAAAATCGAGCTTTTTTTTTTATAAAAATCGTAACTCAAAAACTAAATTAGTTGGAGGAAAATGATTTTAATAAAAACGATTCCTTATTAAATAAGGATTATTTTCTAATTAATATTTATGAATCAAATTGTGTTAAAGATATTATTACTTACTATTTTGGGTGTATTTATAAGAATTAATCGAATAATTCCTTTTTGGGTCAATTTCCCCTCCATAAAGGCTCGAATTAATATTACAAATTTTCCCATTTGCGATTGAAAATAATTCGTAATCGACCGCTAAATTTTCGCACCCCCTCTTTTTATTCTTCTTTAATTTCTCATAATATTGTTCTTTACAAGGGACATATTCCAACAAACTCTTCGTGCTTTTCGTGTTTGAATTCTTTTTGCACAACTTTCGATGATTCGGGGGCGTTTTGACTTCTTGCGAGGTCGGGATGAATCCCCGCTCTTTTAGTTGTTCGAAAATCGTGCTTTTTCCCATCCCGTTGTGATCCTTTTTGATCGTGCAATAACATTTATTGCTGTCGGTGCAGCTATCGGTGTCGCAACCGCAATAAATTAAATCCTTTTTATGTCCCTTATTGTTCTTGTCTCCCAACGAACAATAACATTTATCGGCCGAGACGCAAGTGCAAGAATCCGAGTCGTAACTGCACTCCGAACACGAAACGTAACCCGAAGACGAATTTCGATTATGAGTTGAAATAAAATTTTTTTTCCTCTTCAATGAAAAAAAATCACTCTCCTCCGACGTCGAAACGCGGTCTTTCCTCACACGATTTTGGTTCCTTTTTCGATAACTTTGCCTCCTCGTTACGCACTTTTCTTTCGGTTGAAATTGCCGCGTGTCGTAAGACGACGAACTTAAGCTGCTCTCGATGGTTTTTTCGCTAACATCTTTCTTCGACGTCTCTTGCAAATCTTTCACAGCCTTTAATTTTTGAAAGATGTGCTTTAAGCGCTTAAATTTCGTGTAAGCGGCGACGCGCTTCTTCCCGTTTTGACTCTTCATCAATTTCTTTTTGTGCCTCCTCATTATCAGCTTCGAACGCTGATAAAGCTCGTCTTTCGTTAACGTTAAGGCGAGTTTTAAAAGGAATTCTTTGTAAATCGGTTTTAGGTCGTTAAAAGACATCCCTTCGGGGTCTATGATGACTCCGAGTATTTCATCGACGGAGTGTAGACCCTCTTGGAGACGAAATTCGTTGAATAGCTCGCTAAAACCGAGCGGGGAACCACCACTCGCTTGCCCGTTTGATCTAAAAAGAAAAATTTTGATTAAAATTAATTCAAAATCAAAAATAATTTGTTACAAAATCGATTTATTCGATTTAAATCGAAAAATTTTTGTTTTGAGACAACATTAAAAATGGTAATAATAATAATAATAACTCGGATCATGATAAAAATGATTTTAATCGACGCAGAATTCAATTCCCTTTAAAAAGAGTCCAAACTCGATGGTTTTATCTTGCTTAGTTTCCGAGATATCAATCATTTTAATCGAGTTATTATCAAAAATGGGGGATTATTATCATATTTTTATGTTTTTAATAAGATTGCGCCGAGTTTAATAATCGAAATTTAAAATCTTATTAATTTATATCCTGAATGATAATAAGTGATGGAGTAAAAAGATAATAAAAGTAATAATTTTGGTAATAACGATTAAAATTAACTCAAAATCAAAAATAATTTATTACAAAATCGATTTATTCGATTTAAATCGAAAAATTTTTGTTTTGAGACAACATTAAAAATGGTAATAATAATAATAATAACTCGGATCATGATAAAAATGATTTTAATCGACGTAGAATTGAATTCCCTTTCAAAAGAGTCCAAACTCGATGGTTTTATCTTGCTTAGTTTCCGAGATATTAATCATTTTAATCGAGTTATTATCAAAAATTGTGGATTATTATCATATTTTTATGTTTTAATAGAATTGCGCCGAGTTTGGTATCAAATTAATCGAAATCTAAAATCTCATTAATTTATTGAGGATATAAATTAATAATAATAATAAGTGATGGAGTAAAAAGGTAATAAAAATAATAATATTGGTAATAGCGATTAAAATTAACTCAAAATCAAAAACAATTTGTTACAAAATCGATTTATTCGATATAAATCGAAATTTTTTTATTTTAAATCATCATCAAAAAAGGTAATAATAATACCAAAACCTCGAATTAAGTTTAAATTGGTTTTAATCGACGCAGAATTGAATTTCCTTTAAAAAGAGTCCAAACTCGGCGATTCTATCTCGCTTATTTACCGAAATATCAATCATTTTAACCGAGTTATTATCAAAAATGGCGGATTATTATCATATTTTTATGTTTTTTAATAAGATTGCGCCGAGTTTGGTATCAAATTAATCGAAATTTAAAATCTTATTAATTTATATCCTCAATAATAATAATAACTGATGGAGTAAAAAGGTAATAAAAGTAATAATTTTGGTAATAACGATTAAAATTAACTCAAAATCAAAAATAATTTGTTACAAAATCGATTTATTCGATATAAATCGAAAATTTTTTATTTTAAGTCATCATCAAAAAAGGTAATAATAATACCAAAACCTCGAATTAAGTTTAAATTGGTTTTAATCAACGCAGAATTGAATTCCCTTTAAAAAGAGTCCAAACTCGATGGTTTTATCTTGCTTATTTTCCGAGATATCAATCATTTTAATCGAGTTATTATCAAAAATGGCGGATTATTATCACATTTTTACATCTTTTACGTTTTTTAATAAGATTGCGCCGAGTTTGGTATCAAATTAATCGAAATCTAAAATCTTATTAATTTATATCCTCAATGATAATAAGTGATGGGGTAAAAAGGTAATAAAAATAATAATTTTAGTAATCTCGCTTATTACCAAGATATCAATCAGTTTAATCGAGTTATTATCAAAAATGGTGGATTATTATCAACAATTTTTGTGTTTTTTAATAAAATTTGGCATCAAATTAATCGAAATTTAAAATCACATTAATTTAAATCCTCAATGATAATAAATAATATTAAATAATAATAAGTTTTTATTAACATTTTGAATTAAAATTGATATTTTAAATTTGAAAATTTTCCGCCAAAAGTGACATCGACGACATGGCCGATTTCCAATTGTACCAACATCGAAATAAATAAAATCACCAAATAATTTATTTTTTAATACAATTTTTAGGGCGACTTTGTAATTATTTTTGATAATTATTACTTTTAATCGATTCTATTAACCTTAATTAACGATTTAAGTAATAAATCAATTTTTAATTAAGTTTTATTTCAAGCTTAATCATTTTTCGGCATTTGAGGTTATGTTGTGTTGTTGTTGTTATTGTTATGATGCGCTTAGCTTTAACAAATTGAGTTTATTAGTGATTATTACATCATAAACAACGAATTAATCGTTCGAAGTGATAAATATTACAAGGTGAGTAAAATTTGTTACTTAATTATCGAATTTAGTGAGATTTTTAGGTTATAACTCACCTTTGTACTTTTGATTTATACCTGGTCAAACCCCCGGCGTTCAAAAAGCTCCCACTCCTTGGAATAGTAACTTTCGTTAAAATATCCCCGGAATTATCGTTCCCTTTGATATCTTCGTCCCGTTTTCGCACACTTTTAACTCGTTTTAGTCCCATATTAGTCGTCTCGTTCATAACTTGCTTTATTTCGGCCGTTATTTGCTTCTGGTGGGTGCTCCTATAAGTGTTAAATTTATCCATGATCGATTGAGGCTTGATTTCTTGGATTTCTTTTTGAATCGTTTCGATTTGATTCTCATCGGAAGGTTCCTCGTACGGTAAAATGGCGTCTAAATCATTTTGATTTAACACATTAGGAGCTTTAGGAGCTGCGCGTTTAGGCTTGGAAACTTTTTTTGATTGAACCTCTTTGTCACTCAATAAAGGTTGAGTGTCGGAAGTCTAAAATTAATTAATTAATTATAAAAAAGATTTTTTTAAAAAATTAACTCACCCCTAAAGTCTCAATGGTATCTTCTTGACTTTTATTGGAGCAAATTGAGCCCCGTTTTTTCCTCGGGGGTCTTACAGGGATTTGAGGGGGCGAATTAACCCCTTCGTTGTAAATGCTCGAAGTCATCGACATGCAAGTAACCCCATTTTTGCTTTTTGGCTTCTTTTCTTTCGCTTTCATGTGGGCCATTAACGCTTTATACAGGGTGGCCGCAATGACGATGGCGTCCTCTGACGTTTGACAAATAAAAGCGTGGCATTCCAATTGCTTTTGGACCCCGATTTTTCTCATAACGACGGCGAAAAGGGGAAAATGATTTTCGTTGTTTAAGTTTTTGAATTCTTGTTGGGTGAAGTTTTGGAATAATTGTTGTTTGTCTAAATTATCAGGGTCGGTTATTAAAGGTAAAAAGGCGTAATTATGGTCTTGAATCACGAATTTGACAGCTGACCACACCGCGATTGTTGGGAATGAGTTTAATTGTTCCAAATCGCCCTTTTCGCCTTGATATTGCACTTTTAGCCCGCTCGATGATATTTCTAAGCGCCCAGTTAACGTTTTCTTGTGCTTGGTGTTTTTTTTGTAAGAAAAATAGAGCTCTTTTAACGGGGTTTGTAACCCGGCTAGACTTGTTACTTTTTCTTGGAGAGTTACGCTGCCTAAATAATCGACAGAAAATGTATGGCATCCAATTTCCGTTGAGGGCGCCGGAAATAAATTGTTGCAATCCTTAGTTATGTCACTAAACATTTTCTCGATTCGCGCTTGAACCGAGTTTTGAGTCGTTTTCGATGAGGAATCGCTCTCAAACATCGCGTCGATTTTTTGTTTATAAACGCTGTAAATGGAGGCGGTTTCGTCGTTTTGATCTTGAAGTCGAAATCCGCTTTGTTGACTCGATTTTTGTTGGAAAAGTAATGGGTTTAGTGGTGGAGGAGCCGGGGGTGTTGCATCCAAATCGTATAAAGCCATTTTGTTGATTAAATCTGGAATAATACAAAAATGAATTAATTGAAATAAAATTTAATTTTTTTTTAAATTCCAGGTGAACTTTCCGGCGACAGATGTTGCGTTAGGATCATTTCATCGCAACCAACATGGTACCGATACTGTTAGATAGCGGGTTCCATCGTCGGGACGGGCTTTTACGCACTCTAACTGTAAGTACGACAAGATTTTTTTCGACTTATTTAGTTTTGCGAAATAAACTCGATTCGATTCGCTTTTTTAAGCTGCAATTTTGGAATGAAATGGGTTTTTGACTTTAAAAATTATTAAGTTGAATCGGGCGTCAAAAAACGTTTAATTTGATACCAAACACGAGTAATTTATCTTTAACGGTTTCCGAGGTAACCTATTTTTTATTAAATTTCAAAATGGCCGCTAATCGATTGTTTTTAATTAATCGATTTTTTAAATTTGGTCGTAACTAGGTCGTGTTGGGTGTCATTTCGAGCAAGTCAAAGTTGAACTTTAATAATTTATTGGTTATACTGTTGTTTTATTTTAAATTTTGAAAAAATTAATATAATTTTTTATTGCCGCGGCAAAAATGATATCAATGTTGCTCTTTTCTATACATTTTTATTATTTAGAAGCCGAAGCAGCTATGCTGCTGAGGCAAAAGTTCAAGTACATAATGACGAATAGATAATGTAACTTTTTTCGATTTATATTTATTATTTTGAACCCGAGGCAGCTATGCTGCCGAGGTAAAAGTTCATGTACACAATGAAGAGTAGGTAAAGCAATTTTTTTAAATTTATGTCTATTATTTAAAAGTCGAGGCAGCTATGCTGCCGAGACAAGAGTTCAAGTACACAATAATGACTAAGTAGTATGTTTTTCAGTATATGTTCATTAGTTAGAAGCCGAGGCAGCTATGCTGCCGAGGTAAAAGTTCATGTACGCAATGAAGAGTAGATAAAGCAACTTCTTTCGATTTATGTTTATTATTTAAAAGTCGAGGCAGCTATGCTGCCGAGACAAGAGTTTAAGTACACAATAATGAATAGGTAGTATGTCTTTTTTCAATATATTCATTAGTTAGAAGCCGAGGCAGCAGCGCTGCCGAGGTAAGAGTTCAAGTATACAATAATTAATAGGTTGTATTTCTTTTTTCAGTATATGTCGATTAGTTAAAAGCCGAGGCAGCTATGCTGCCGAGGTAAAAGTTCATGTACACAATGAGGAGTAGGCAAAGCAACTTCTTTTAATTTATGTCTATTATTTAAAAGTCGAGGCAGCTATGCTGCCGAGACAAGAGTTCAAGTACACAATAATGAATAGGTAGTATGTTTTTCAGTATATGTTCATTAGTTAGAAGCCGAGGCAGCTATGCTGCCGAGCTAAAAGTTCACGTACGCAATGAAGAGTAGATAAAGCAACTTCTTTCGATTTATGTCTATTATTTAAAAGTCGAGGCAGCTATGCTGCCGAGACAAGAGTTCAAGTACACAATAATGAATATTTAGTATGTTTTTTTTCAATATATTTATTAGTTAGAAGCCGAGGCAGCAGCGCTGCCGAGGTAAGAGTTCAAGTATACAATAATGAATAGGTAGTATGTCTTTTTTCAATATATTCATTAGTTAGAAGCCGAGGCAGCTATGCTGCTGAGGTAAAAGTTCATGTACACAATGAAGAGTAGATAAAGCAACTTCTTTCGATTTATGTCTATTATTTAAAAGTCGAGACAAGAGTTCACGTACACAATAATGAATAGGTAGTATGTTTTTCAGTATATGTTCATTAGTTAGAAGCCGAGGCAAGAGTTCAAGTACGCAATGAAGAATATGTAATGCAACTATTTTCGATTAATGTCCAGTACTGCTGTTGATATCCATGTTACAAGTTTCGTTTAAATATTAAAATAATAAACAAATAAATATAACTTCTTATCTTGCAAAATTCAATTTATTTTAACGGAACCGGTTTCGACTAGTTTTACTTAGTCATCTTCAGCCGAATAGTCAATAAAATAAAATCAACATCACAAAGAGCAGACATATATAGAATAAGAAGTTATATTTATTTGTTTATTATTTTAATAATGTCCATTAGTTAGAAACCGAGGCAAGGGTGGTACGTTTTTAACATACATCTATTATTTAAAAACCGAGGCAGCAGCGCTGCCGAGGCATGGGTTCAAATACACAATAATGAATAGGTAATACAATTTTTTGATATAGATTTTAAATATTTTTCACCATTTTTAAAAAAGTTACGACGTCATCGATATTTTTTTCAAATAGCAATTCCCCATTTTTATTACGGAATTGAAAGAGGATTTTATCCCTATTTAGTACAGTCAAAATTAATATTAGCTACATGTAATATTAATAATTTCTTATTCATTTGAGATAGAAAAATGGCAACCAAGTGTTCAAATATCAAAAATTAATCATTGTCTTAATAAAATATCTGAAGCACTTGATTGCCATGGTTACGTACTCAAATGAATGGGAAATTATGAAAATTTAAATATTTAATAACTTTACATACCAATATTTAATAACCGAGGCAAAATTCAATACAACTTTTTGCACGATAAATTCATGATTTAGAGGCAGAGGCAACTGTGTTGCCGGGGTAGTGGTTCAAATACTCAAAAAGAATCAACGAATTAAATGTTTCAAAGCACATATGATGTAGTACATAGAAGCCGGAGGAAGTGGAGATTACATGATTGCGAAGAAATGCACTAAAGTTGTTTTTGATACGAATGCGTTATTATTATGTAGAAGCCGAGGCAGTAGAGAGTACTTACTAGTAGTGATAGTAATCAGATACTGTGTTCCCGAGGCAGTGATACAAGTACTCAAAAAAGAACAAACATTTAAATGTTTCACAACACATATGTTTTATGTAAAAGCCGAGGCAGTAGAGAGTATTTATTTACATTAATAATTAAATTATATCTAAATGGAAATAATCAGTGATTATTCGCTTATTAAATTCGTTATTTTTTTCTGATTACAGAAATATAAGGTTTGACAGGTCTATTTCTTATTGTTTTAGAATAAAGTTAAAAATAAAATTTTTTTTTAGTGGCCGCAAAGAAATTAAATTTACAGTTTCCTGTAAATTATAATTAAAAATTAAATAAGATATTTCTAATATTTGAAACAAATACATTTGTTGAACTATTTAATTGATATTTGTTTTACACAAAAGTTGGAATAGATTGCATTATTTCACATTTTTTATTAATATTTAATATTATTATTAAATGACTTAATAAATTATTGATAGATGGCGCTCATATATTTGTTTTAATTCAAATAAACATAGCAACATTTGTTTGTATTCAAAAATTTTCTGAAGCGTCAAATTAAAAATCCTGTTCTTTAAGATGGATTACGAACATTACGAAAAGTTTAACTTGTTAGAATGTTCCATATTAGAAAATAAAATACATTTTATATAAATTTTTAGTTATAGTATCGTAATTTACAGGAAACTGTAAATTTAATTTCTTTGACGACACTAAAAAAAAGTTTATTTTTAGCTTTATTTTAAAACAACAAAAAATAACGAATTTAATAAGCGAATAATAGTAATAACCAAGTTAACTGCACTTGTTGGTTTTACGATATTTTCGGACATCGAATTTGAATCACCCTGTACACCCATAGAGGTTCCGATAACCAAGATTGAAAGTCGTTTTAACGATCTTTTAAGTGTGTTATCCTCTACATTTTTGCAAGATTCGTATTAGATAAGTTTAAAGCTCACTTAAAATACTAATTGAAACGATTAATAAAGATAACGGAAGCTTTTAAGGAGAAATTTGCAAAAAACCATCGATACATAAAGTTTTAAGATCGCCGGGCGGAGAAAATATCCACGTTGATTTTGTAAGAAAGGTTATCTATTCTCTTTTAAATCGTATTTACATAGATTGTATGCACGATCTCGTAAAAGCGAAGCAGTGAAAGTGGAAGAAAGTGAAAATTCTCGGTGAAGCTACTAAAAACCGTAAGCTTTCAGCGAGCCATATAACATAATAATAGTTTAAATTTTTTTAGGTGGAAGTAAAGCGGTTAAATATGATTAGTCATTAAAGAGCGCTTATTCCACACTAAATGTGGCTTAAATTTATAAAAAATGGGATTTGAGGACAAAATCGTAAAGCGTAAAATTAAAAAATGATATGAATTGCTACAAAGTTTCTTGTTTTTGTGTTGAACACGATTTTACCTTTAAAAGAAGCCAGGTGAAAGAGTTCTTTTTATGCATAATGAATCGAACAAGACTTGGGTCTGCAGGAAACAAGGGCGTCGACGCATTTCGACCTAATTTACCTCTCAAGTAGAACATTTAAAACCCGTTCAAACACGCGCCAACAATTATTTACCAGCTCCGTTTTAACTCTTCGTCCTCTTTTTATCAAAATTTGCATAAGCACGAATTTTATTTCTTTTCATTTATATAGTGCGATAAAATTTTTTTATTACAAATTAAATTAAAAAAAGTTCATTGCACCCGAAGCTCAACTCGTAAGCTCTAATAAGTCCACTTGCGTGACTTCGTTGTTAAAAACGTGATCGCGGTGATAATTAATTAGGAAAATCGATTAAATAAATAAAATTTATTCTGTTATTAATCCTATTAGGTTGTTTTGAGTCGTGCGAAGGTTGCAATGGTAAGGCTATAATAAAGCGGATTGGTGAAAGGTCGATTTTAACTCAATAATACCGTTTAAATATTTTTTAACCTCATTTTCAAGAATTATTACCGAGGATTACAAGAAACCAATTCAACCTTTATAATCGCTGATTGTTCCAAGGCGATTTTATGCGGTTTCTTGAAAACATCCATTTTGTGCATTATAAAAGGAAGGGATGATTAAAAACTTTTTTTTTATTATCATTTTTATCAGTTTTTGTTTGAGCGAAATTGCCTCAATATCCCAAGAACATATGTGTTATAAAACGTTTAAATGTATGCTGCTTTTTGAGTATTTGTATAATTGCCTCGATAGCATAGCTGCCTCGGG